ATGCTCCATCTCCCCATGCTCCATCATCTCCCCATGCTCCATCTCCCATGCTCCATCTCCCCATGCTCCATCTCCCCATGCTCTGAGATGCCCCCCCGTGCTCTATTCTACAGATGGGGAAGCCAAGACCCAAGGACAGTTGAAGCAGGTGCCCAGACTCCCGCTCCTCCAGCCCCCTAGGGTGGGGCTGCCCCACTTCTGTGACTGGGGCTCAGGTCCAAGAGCTGGTGGGTTTGCTGAGAGAATAAGGAGGATCTGCCTCAGCCACAGGCCTGGCCCTGGCTTCAGCTGCTCTGACTCCCTACAAAGCCCTGAGTGTACTGGCGGATGTTGGGGAGCTGTTGCTCACCCCTGGGGGGGCACCCTACCTTCATCCCTAGGAGTCCAAATCCTGCACCACTTTAGAAGCTGCTCCAGTGCCACCTCCTCCAGGAAGCCTGCCTTGATTCTCTCAGCTGGAAAAAGTTTGCCCCTCCACTGAGTCCTATAGTGCTGCATCTGTTTGTTCATTCATGTGTTAATTCATTTATTCATTCACTTATTCTCTCAGCACCCACTTGCTGACCTGCACTCTGGGCCGGGCCCTGGGCTGGCCTCTAGGAACACAGAGGAAGTGAGTCCCTGCCCTCAGGGGGCACAGGCAGGGGTGCCCTCAGCAGCTCCCCATTATGCAATTCTTCCCAGGACCTCTTCTACCAGGCCACGAGGGTCCTGGCCAGGGCTGACCCTCAGCCCCACCATCTGCTGAGTAGACCCCTACCTCTGCCTTCCCAAACCCAGGGTCCAGGGCTAGAGAGGCCTTTATGCCCCTGGGGGCAGTTCCAGAGATGAATGCGCATGACAGAGACGTGCTGTGAGACAGCGTGGGTCTGGGAAGGGACAGTGTGCAGCCTGAAGCTGGGGGCTGGGGCTTAGGAGGTGCAGGGACTGGGTGGGAACCCCAGCCCTGCCTGAGGCACACCCCACTGTCATGTGGTTTGTACACTGCAGGTGTCCCCACCACAACACGCTGTGGTTGCACTGGTTCCGTGTCCAGCCCGGGCTTCCCTTGGGGGTCTGTTCAGCATCCATGGCCTGGCTATGCCCCCAACCCCCAGGAGTCCATCCTGAGGTGGGTCAACATGCAATCAAAGCTACAGCCCTGTATGCTAGATGGAAACCCCGGGGCACGTGGGAGCTCTGGATGAAGGGGTCGGGGGGCTTCTGCAGGAGGCGGTAGGGGCTGCCCTTACTCCCCAGGTCCCCAAGGCAGCTCAGGGCCAGAACCGAAAGCTGAATCCTCAGTGGAAAGAAAAACACTCCGTATGTCACGAGAAGTTACCTAAGTAAAAATTCCATTTCTAATGATCTGAGACAGAGAAGCTTGGAAGCCAACCTCCCCATTCCAAGCTAGGTCAGAAGCGGCATTGGAAACCTCCCTGGGACTTGGGGACCGGCCAGCTGTTTAGGATTCCACAAGGTGGCCAGCCTCACGGCCACGAGTTTAATAGCACCAATGTTCACAAGGCCAAAGCCATCACCTCGGGTCCTTCTGTGGAGTGTGCAGAG